GCTCTGGGAGCCTTGTGGGACTTGGATGACGAGCTCTGAGGGGTGGGAGGGCTCCTGGACACCCTCGATCTCATGGGACATGAGAAACTGTGCCTCGGCTCAGACTGGGGCTTCTGCCCTGGCCAGTGTGTTAATCACAGGGCAGGGGCCACTTTCTTTACTAGCTGTGTTTCCTGATCTGACTGGGATACGAAATAAGAGAGGAGGAAGTGGCCCCAGCCCAGCCCCTCCCACCAGCTCCAGGACAGGGGCTTCTCCAGCATTGGAGGGCAGTGCCCCCCTTCCCCCACCCCCAGAGCTCTGGTCTCCCTTGGCCTCCCTTGGCTCTGCCTTGGCTGACTCCCTCAGCATCCCCAAGAACCCCGTCTTGGCCTGGCTCACCTCCAGGCTCTGGGCCACCCCCACCCCTCGTTGCCCTCCCCAGCTCTACCCTGATGATCTTGGCGAGTGGGTAATGTATTCCAGAGACATCCCTCTGCCCCCAGGAAGCCTTAGGAAATCTCTGTGTCACCCAAGACCCCAGGATGGAAACCATTTGGAAATTATAAGGAGACTGTCTTAAATATTGGAAGCGTCTGGTGGTAGAGTCTCCCTGGCGGTGCTAAAGCAGAGACTAGAATCTGCCAGCTGGGGGTGTCATCGGAAGGAACGGGATCCTTGGGGAGGGAGGTCTGGCCACACTTGCTGCTGGGGTCACTGCCCACCAGTGTGGGTCTCCTAGACCCCCGAGGGGTGAGGGGGCTGAAAAAGACCGTTCCACGTGCTGCCAGAGTCGGGTCACGCTTGGGGAGCGGACCGGGCTCTGCCAGTTTCGCGGTCACTGCTGGTGTGCGACGTGCGGTTTCCCGGGGGCCTTGGAAACAGGGAGAGCAGACTCCAGTGAGCTGTGTCTTTTTTTTCCTTCCCAATATTTCAACAGATTTGACCTGTCTGACAAGGATTCCTTTTTCGACAGCAAAACCCGGAGCACAATCGTAAGTATTGCTCGCTCGTGGGAATCGATTGCTCAGCAGCAAATGTGGCCCCGGGGAAACGGATGATAATTTCATTTCAGCCAAACTCCTCTGGGTGAAAGCGGCTCTAATTGTCTGTGACCGAAATAATTAGAATAATAACACCAGCAGGCTGTGGGAGCCCTGGGGACAGGCCGGGTGGAGCAGCAGGGACGAGGCAGAGGGATTCCAGGCCCGTCAGGTTATTTCCACACGTTCCGACGTCTTTGAAGTTCCCAGCACATCTGTCCAGCCTCCTTGCTGCTGGCCCTCAGTGAAATTTGTCCGTTCCTATCTGTCTGGAGGTTTCCAAGCAGGCAGGCCTGGCAGGAGCGAGGGGCAGTGGAGGCAAATGCATGAGGGTTGGGGTAGATTTCTGGGGCTTTGCCAGATGAGCAAACCAAGGTCTGAAATCTGACCAGGCCACCCTGCCCTCTCCTGGTGTTGGTTTAATGTTTATCCATCAGCTGCCAACTTGTCCGCCAGCCAAGCTGGGCCGTGCATAGCTCAGGACCCAAAGTCTGTTTAAACAAGAATTAACCTCGAGGCCAAGTGGCTGCTCCTCTCTCTTCCCCAGAAAGCCCAGCCTGGCGAGGAGAGGGTCCAGACGGGGAGGAGGCGGCCCCTTAACCTGGAGCAGACAACTGCCCCTCGCGGCCAGGCAGGGGACAGTGGTGCCGGCCAGTTGGTGTGGGGGGCTCAGGCCTCTGCCAAGACAGGTGGTAGATCCAGGTCCTGACCCCTCCCAGCCTAGTGACTCCGAAATGGGACGAGGTGGCTTCCTGCTCAGAGGGCAGCCGTGCACCACCCCTCCGAGGGTAACCCGGACGCAGTGCCAGGAGCACAGTCGCTGCTGTGGTTTTTAATTATTGACCGTGTTGCCAATTCAATTAGCAGTTAAATCTCATTATCATAAACAGTAAGAAACTCGTGTATGCAGGAAACATCAGTGGCCAGTGAAGCTCAGGGCTGGCACGTGTGCAGAGGAGGGAGCTTCTCCCTCGTGGACACCAGCCGCTCGGGAGAGCCAGACGCAGTTTAACCTGAGTGGTCTTACCTTTTCTTTGTCATTTTTGGGATGGGAGAGAATCAGCATGGCCGGCTGAGGAAACTGAGGCACGTGCCTTGTTTCAGTGAGTAAGTGCGCCCCAGTTTTACACTCTCTGGGACCGCCAAGGCGCTCTCTGAAGCACAGGGCAGGGTGCAAAGTCATAAACGCCCTCTTGCTGTCAGGGAGGTGGCCCAAGGTTGGGGCAGCAGATGCGGACGGAGGCTCTGGGCTCCGCTTTATAATTGAGCTCAGTCCATGATCCCCAAGTCACAGAAAGCGATTCTGCAGGACCAGTAAAGTGTCAGCTAAACAGTGTGTGACTCCGTTTACCTCTGGGGTGGGGGAGCACTCTCTCCTAGGGACTTGAAGGTCAGCTTGTAAACCACCAATGCTCCAGAGAAACTCTTTGGTGACTCGAAACTTTGTCCTTGGTTAGTCTTGGGGAGCCAGTGCTGTTCTGGACAAAGAGATGACAGCCCCTCCTACCTCTTCCCTGGGCTCCTGGTATCAGGGCGGCCTAGTATGCAAGCAGATAAGAGCCAGGACCAGCAGGAAACAACGGAAAAGGGCCTAAGATGCTGATCTTAGGACTAGCCCATCAGTCTGTATGCACTAGGGAGCCATAGATGGTTGCAGGGCAAGCTCCTAGAAAAATCACTGCCAGTGGCTGGCTGTGAGAGGGCACGTGCTGGGTGGATGTGGAGTCATAGTGGTAGCTGTAAATGAGGGCTGTGGCCACAGGTAGCAGGGAGGAGGTGGTTACGGGAGAAGCATCAAGGTCAGGACAGGGCCACCGATTAGATTCAGGGGATGCTGGGGCGGGACCCAGCTGACTGGGTGATTCATTCATTCATCATCAGTCAGTAACCGAGCGCCTGGTCTATGCCCAGGACTGGCGGGAGGGGAAAGGCAACAGGCACTTATATACTGTGGCAGGTGTGGAGGGCACCCGGGACAGGAGAGCAGAATCAGAGGGCAGAGTGACGGGGGCAGTGGCTGCTCCGTGACAGTTTGTTAAAGTGGCCCCGCAGCCATTTAGCTCTAGAGAGATAAGCCTTTGGGCAGAAGGAACAGCCAGGGCAAAGGCCCTGTGGCCTCAGGAGAGGGTCGCTGAGTGAGAGGGACAGTCTGGAGGCCGGGTGGCTGGGCAGGGCTGGGCAGGTGGAGATGAAGGGAGAAGGTTGGACGGGGCACCGCAGGGTGGGAACGTGGAGCCTTCCGGGGTCGGGGGGTGATTGGAGCTCTCCAACCCGCACGCCGATTCTTTTCATCCCATTTTGCAGGTGGGGAAACTGAGGCAGGAGTGGCAAGGTAGTTTCAAGACCACACAGCTACAAGGAATGAGACTCAGGCAGGCAGACCCCCAAGGCAGGGCTCCCAAGGGGACAAAGTGAAATATTTTGTTAGTAAAGTGGGCACAGATTTCTGGAACATTCAGAACCACACCTAGGATTGGCCCTATTGGCTGGGTCCTCATACCTTCGAATTCCAACTCACGTCTCAGCCCAAAGGGATGACAACCTGCCACTGGGGTGCCCAGGACACCCAACCCCTGAGCATCTGCACGGTGTGGGGGATGCTTCCTGGAGGGAAGTAAAAATGGGCCCTTGGGGTGACCTCCTTGCCCAACTCTGTCCTCGGGAGCTGGCGGGAGGCCGGCACTGCTAGCCGCCACCACCTCCCTTCCCGGTGACCCGTGTCCACGTTGGCCAGCCCACCCGCTGCCTGGAGTGACGGCCGCCCCTCATGTCTCCACAACAGGTCTACGAAATCCTGAAGAGGACAACATGTACCAAAGCCAAGTACAGCATGGGTAAGGCACGCATCATCTCCGCGGGAGGTGGGCAGCCAGGCTGGGTTTTTTTTAGAGGGTTTTGATTTAAGCCTGTGTAACAGTTTCAGGCAGGAGAGCCGTTCCAGGACCGTGGGGCTGTTTTATGGCACTTTTAAGCACCAGAGCATCCTCCTCTCTGGCTCGAGGCATCTTTGATGGCCTGAGGAGCCTCTCACGGCAGAGGCAGTAAATTCTGGCTGCTGGAAACTAGAGGGGAGACCGAAATGTCTTCAGTCTCTCTTGACCCTCATAGTCCAGGGGAGGACGTTAGGATTCCAGCCAGGGGAGACGGCCTGACGCAGCAACCAGACTCGCCAGCCAGACTTGCAAGCAGCCTAGAAGGCGCCCTGCTCGGGCTGCAGTGTGGCTGAAAGGGGCACCCCACCGTGTGTGCCCTTTGACACATGCCCGATGACACTTGCCCTGATCCAGAACCTGCCGCAGAACCATCCCCACTGGGCTCCTTAGGTACCGGTTTACAGAACACCTCAACCACAAGTGCAAAACCTTCCCGATAAAACCGGGAACAGAAACCCCCCGCCACCAACACAGGTCCCTTGCCCACAGTCACAGGCTGAGTTTGCTAAAGCAGAGCATTTCAGAGCAAAGGAATGCCTGTCCTTAGCCTTTGCCCGCCTCTTCCTGAGCTGTTTTTGGCTCTGCTGAGAGCCAGCAACAGTCCTTCGTGCTATAGAAGCATCTGAAGTTTCGAGGCTGTGGTTCCAGGGGCCCAAGGAGGGTCTGGTAGGAGCCAGAGTCTTTGCATCAGGAGAGGCTCCCTGCCTCCTGGCTTCCTGTGGAGGGAAGAGGCTGCAGGAAGGGAGCAAAGAGCAGGAGGAGGAGTAAGATGCTAGCAGCTGAAGCCTGGGGCAGGCCCGGGATGCGGGGGGTGGGGGTGGGGATGGACCGTCCAGGGTCAGGCGGCCTGCACGTTTCCGGCCCAGTGCGGCCAATGGTCAGTCACAGGGACACCCTTCTGGGCCTGGAATCTCTGAGCCCGTGTCCTAAGTCAGTGAGGGGGCCCAGCATTCAGGAGTTGAGAGGTGGCCAGGAAAACTGTCCCCAGAGCCCAGCCTCTGAAATGAAGAGCCTCTAGGATGACTCAGGCCACCAGAGGTGGGAGAAGCTGGCTCTAGTCCCAGCGCTCATCTCAGACCTCAGTCTTCCTTTAGGGTCCCCGTAGGGTCCTTTCTGGTGGAGGCTTGTGTGGTGGCTGTGAAAGTTAGTGCTGATCCCCACTCCAGGTTATCCTGGGAGTGGGTGTCTCTGGGTCCTCTGGCCCGTTCCCTGGCAGGGCTGGTTCCCAGGGCTGGTGACAGACAGGTAGATGGAAGGCCCCTCTCTGCACCTCATTTCATATTGGCGCCTTGTCTGAAAGCCCTCGTGACCTCCAGATTTGTGGATGGGTTCTGTCACCCACTAGCCTCTGTCCCAGGTAGGTCCCTACCCTCAGGGAGTTTATATCCTGGAAGAGGGAAACAGATCATAGATAACCAGGTAAGCCAGAATGTAATCTTGCCGGTTGAGGGGGAATGGGGGGGGTGGTGACAAGAGGATTTGGAACCAGTGAACAGAGGTCTTTCTGATGAGGTGACATTTGAAGGGTGAGCCTTCCAGGCAGAGAGTGCAGCTTGTGCAAAGGCCCTGTGGCAGCACAGCCTTGTGAGCATTCTGGGGACAATGAGGAGCCAAGGAACCTGAATCAGGCCCCTCATTCATTTTTTAATCCCAGCTGAACTTTTCACTCATGTGGCTTTGGCCACATGCTCCCACCTTGCTCTGGCTCAGTTTGGATTTCTAAGTGTCCCTCAGGTGCCCTGACCATCCCAGATCAGTAGCTGAGGAAATCGTTTTTTATTTTTAAGTGGATTTCAGGAAGTGACTTTCCCACCTGTGTCACAGCAGAGTAGTAAAGAGTGGCGGCCAGGCCACTGAAAAATGTGACCCGCTTACCACCTAGAAAGCTTGTTCAGCCAGACAGAGGGTCCTGTGACCAGCAAAGGGGTTCATGGAAACTCCTGGGCCCCCATGGATGTGTGCGGGGCAAGATCAGACCTCCAGGAACCCCTGGCCCCGTGCTCGGCTGGGCTCCGCCTTCCCCCTCACGGCACTGTCTCCTGGAGCTGGGCGCCCGAGTCCGCGCCTCTGGACTCTCAGACGTGCAGAAACGGTTATTTTTCTAACGCTCCCGGTGTGGGCCCTCGGGCGGCAGACGAGGGCCAGGCCGTCCTTCCAGCGCCCACCAGGAGCCCACCAGGACGGCGTGAGTGAGCGCGTTTCCCCCCAAATGCAGCTTTGATTCTTCCAGGCCCTTTTTCATGTAACTAACAGCTGGATGTATAAACAGGGCAAGGAGAGGGAAGAAGGAAGGACTCTGCCCTTTTAAATAAAAGGCGAAAATGTGGTAGACACGGTAAGTGCCTGCCCTGCCACGCGGGGCCCGCAGGCCTCCTCTGGCTTTTCCAATCAGCCTGAAATCTAATTCCAAATTGTACGTGTGTTTCTGACACCATCAGTTTCCCCATCCATACTTTTTCTCATGACTCAGCTTTTCCTAACCTCTGACAATCCACCTTCCTGATCTCGCAGGCGGGGGTTGCTGGTGAATCGCAGGTCTGGGGGTGCCTCCTTCCTCCCAGACGTGACTTCCTCTTGGGGTTTCCTCTGCGTCTTCCTAATCCTGCCGATACAGCACGTTTTCACCATCGCCTAGTCAAACCCCGGGAGGAAACCCCAGAAAGGTGGCTGGGCTCTGTGCAGCCAGGCGTGGCTCGCTTTGAAAACAAATTCTCAGTGATCCAGACGGTCCTGGGGCCGCGCTGGTCGAACCTGAGCCGTGGGAGGCGTGCCTGGGCCGTAACCCCTTGTCTCTACCTTTATTTTCAAGGCATCACGAGCCTGCTGGCCAACGGCGTTTATTCGGCAGCCTACCCCTTGCACGATGTAAGTAACCTTGACAGGCACGGCTCATCTCTGCATCATTTGATTCCCCAAATCCCCAGGGCCTCGTCCCCAAGGGAGCCCTCTTTCTCCTGCAGTCTGGGCTTCCTGCTTTGGCTCTCCCTTAAATGTCAGCCACGCACAGCCCTTCCCGCTTTCCCCAGGTGGGGACCAGAGTCACACACACAGCCGTCTTTGCTCGCAGAGCCATTCCACCAAGGCAGGGGCATTTGTGGCAGAAACTCTGCCCCATCCATATCTGGACCTCACAGCCAGCGGTCCACAAGATGCTTTCCCTGGCTCCATCTCCCCCACCCTGTCCTGCTCGGGCTCTGGCGGAATGACCAGAGCTCTCTGTGCATCTGCTTCTGCAGAGCAAGTGGCCAGCTTCCTGAGCTGAGTCTCCAAATCCCACTGGTATCCCCCTGACAAATATAGCCTGTGACCACGGCCGCGTTGTCTTGGCTCAGGATGGAGCGAGAGAGGATTCTCTTCTTGTCTCTATGGAAACAGGGACGAGAGTTCAGCAGGGCACTGGGGATGGGCCACGGGGCCTGAGCAGTGTGGGAACCCAGGATGGAGGATCTCTGGAACTTTTCAAATGTGTGTTACTGCAAAGATTAGGAGCGAGAGAGGGCAGGCCTGGGGGTCAGGGGACCCAGATTCTAGTCCTGGCCACTCACTCCTCTGTGGCCTTCAGTGGAGGAGACAGCCCTGCCCTCTCTGAGCTTCAGTATCCCCATCTGCAAGTCAGGAGTAATACGCTGCCAGTTGCCAAGGCTGCAGTGGGTTTTGGAGGGGTTACAAAAACAGAAGGGCTTTTGGGGAGACACTAGATTGGACAAATGGAGGGCACCAGCACAGCACATGGTCATCTCCCCAGGCTGTTGAGTGGGAGGGAAGATGCTCAGCCGACCTGCTGTCGAACCCTCGTCACTCACTGTAGGGATCAGGGCCTCCCCCTCACTGCAGGATCTGGGGTCAACTGATCCCACTTTCATGCCTCCGTGCCTCCGTTCATGCTGTTCCTTCTGCCTGCCATGTTCTTCCTGCCTCTTCTGCATGGAACCTTTCTTCTCCCCTTCCCCCAGCACAGTAGAGTTCTTCCTCTCTGGGATCCACGCTCCCTGTCCCACAAAGGCAGCACTGTTTGGATGCCCTTCCTTGGGCCTGTATCTCATGAAAACCCCCACACTCAGCACCTAGTATAAATGTGGTGTCGATTTGGGTGGGACTGAGTCAAGTTGCCTTGGCGATTGACCCAAGTTGCCGTGGCTTGAGGAATGTGTCAAGGGCAGGGCTCAGGCCCTGAAGGTCCCAGCCAGCGCTCCTGGCTCCTCCCCGGAAGGGGCCTCGCTCATCCACCCTGCTCAGGTCTGCTCAGTTGTTCAGCCCCACTGGCGCCGGGAACACAGCCCTGCTTGGCCTTGGAGCCAGTAACCCCTGCCAAGATGTCAGAGACAGAAGGCGGAATGTTTCGGGGCCTCCATGCCTGTTTGAGTCAGCCCTTTAAGTCTTAAAAGGGAAAGAGGAGGAATCAACATTTCTGAGCACCTACTGCATGCAAAGAACCATGTTTCATAGGAGCTTTGTCTCATTTAATCCGATGCAAACATGGAGGCTCAGAGAGGTTCAGTGACTTGCCCAAGGTCACACAGCCCCTGTGGAGGAGCTGGGGCCAGAAGCCAGCACTGGTTGACAGTAGGCTGCTTGATCCTTTGTTGCACCGTCATCTTTGTCCCTTACACAGCAGTAGGAAAGCCTGCCATGTGGGGTCTGTTCCCACTTTGCAGATGGGGAGACTGAGGCTGCAGTTGCTTAAGCAGCTTACCCAGGAGCACACAGCCAAGGAATGGAGCCCAAGTCCTCTGGCTCTGCTTCGAGGGTTCTTTCAGCTGGATTACGGACTTCAGTCATGTTGAGGAAATAGTAGATTTTACATCCATGGATTTTCCACACAACTGACGGACATGACACCCTGTTAAGTACCAAAGCTGAAGTTCAAATATTTGGGAAGATAAATCCTTCTGAATTGAGACGCGTGCACCCCATGCTCTTAAACAGAGGATGCCAGCCACAGCGAGGCTGCACCTCAGCCCCTGGTGGGGGGTGGGCTCTCCCCCGTGTGTGTGTAGTTCCCTCCATCCGCCTGGGACCACTGAGCATCGACGGCCTTCAGCGCGTGGCCCGTAGCTTCCCACCCGCGCCGGTGCCTTGGTTACTGCCTTCACTCACTCACTCACTCATTCAGCGAGACTGTCCGTCAGGCCAGGCGCTGGTGCCCTTGCCAGCCAGACACAACCTGCTGGGACTGCATGTAGAGGAAGAGGTTTTTGCTCCTGGAGCTAGCGTTCAGCTCAGGAGAAGGACTTGGCGTTTCAGCCGCTGCTGGACGGCTTTTTGGCTTCCTTCCTGGTTGGCACCTACCCCCGTCGAGGTCACCGGCTAACTGACCTCCGGGGAAATGAGGTGCTGCTGGAATCGTGTGGCTGTCTCAGCCAGGAGTGAAAACACCGGGAAGGCAAAAAGGTCGGGTTGGGCAGGGAGGGCCCCTGAAGACAGGGAAACTGGGTAAACGACTCCCAGGGCATCTTCCCTCACAGACCACAGCATCAGTTGCTCTCCTGGTGGTCAAGTTCTCCCACCTGGAGGGGGCTGGTGGTGCCACGGGGGTCAGAGAAGGAGCTGGTGAGTGGAGCAGGCACCAGGCAGACCTCCTGGATCTCTCAGAGCCTTTATCTGCCCAGCAGTCCCCAGGACCGGTTGGCCAGTCCAGGCCAGCCAGGCGGGGGCCTCCCAGACCCTCTGTCTCACGGCTCCTCCTTGGTCAGCGATGTCACCCGTTGGAATCCTGGCTCGCTTTCAGCTTTTAGACCCTCCTTCTCATCCATTGGATTTGGAGACCAGGATCCACGTCCCAGTTCTGACAGGATTTCCCTGTCTATCCCAGGAAAGTTAGTTTGCTCCTCCGAGCCTCAGTGTTCCCATCTGTAAAGCTGGAGTACTGCCCACTGATCTTCACGTACAGTGACCGTCTGACTCATCACCCCTCCTGCGACGTTGGAGAGTGGGGGGCACTGCCTGGACGGGGCCCTGGGACGAGATGCCGGACCGTCCCGGCGGGGTGGGGTGTGTGTTTGCCCTATTGATACGGTTCCTCCACCCCCACAGCCCCCGTTCCTCTGTGATGTCAGTTCCAAGAAGCTGGCCGTGTTCCCTTCCTGGATGCTGTCTCTGTGACGTGGGGAAGGCGCCTCGGGCTTTCCTGTGGATGGGGTGCTGGCGGGGCAGCCTGAGGTCTCACGGGGCGCTTTTTATCCCAGGCGGCCCCAGGGCCTGGACGACTGTCCGCTCTGGGTGAAGTCCTGTCCTGGGGTGAGCTTAACTGCATCAGTCAGGGCTGCTGGAGTTTGTGTCTGGAAAGGCTTCGGATCTGAGCTGTTCAAAAAATGTAAGACTCTCTCCTCCCTCTCTGGACAGGGTGACTATGACGGGGACAGCGTGGAGTTCAACGACAGGAGGGTGAGTGCTGCAGAGCCAGGAAGCCGCTCCTGGGGTCCGGGGGCCTCGGGGCCAGCGTGCACGGGGGTGGGCTCACAGAGTCACGGTGCTGCGGCCCCACGTCCGAGGGAGACGATGGTGAACTCGCTTCGTTGCACTGTTCTCTCAGATTCTCCAAAGCATCATTTCAGGAGGTCAGATCACGTAGGGGGAGGGGACGTGCCCCCACCGCCTGCCCTTTCCCTCTGTCCTTCCGCAGCCCCACGTGGCCAGGTTGAAACCTGTGTCTCACCGGATCTGTCAGGACCTCCAGGGCTCTTTACTGACATTTAGCCTAATCCTGCCCAGCTTCCGGGGAAATAAGTTTGAGAGAAGCTGGGCCAGCAGCACAGGGCCAAGCCAGTGTTTCTCAAACCTACTTGACCTGGAACCCTCTTCAGTGAAAAGGGTTGTAGAGCTGAAGTTCCGTGGGACACACTTTGGGAAACACTGAGTGATCCCTTATTCTTTAGGGGCTGTCCCTAATTCCTCCCGCCCAGGCTCTCGGGCGCTCCTGCACCCACCCCACAGCTCCCCCTCCACAGCTGTTTCTCCTCCTTCCCTCACGCGCCCACACCCGGATGCCAGCCTCCTTCCCACCCCTGCCCCAGCCCCTCCCGGCTCCTCAGGCACAGACCTCCGTCCCCTTGGGGAGCCGCCCCCCTCTGGCCCTGCATTCGTTTCAGCCCCCCTTGTCCTGCCTCTTGCTGCCGAGGTGGGGCAGTGGGGGGTGATTCCCCGAAAACCTCACGGTGGTGGCCTTGTCCCAGATCGCAGGGGCCGGGAAGCTGTGTGTGGAATGTTCTCCATCCCCCCCCCCAGCCCCCCGTATGTGTTTTTAAACCTTCAGTACTTGATACAACTCGCCCGCCCGGGAATCCAGCTGAAGATGCTATCTGATTTAGCACAAAAATACATATTTGGTTATTTTTGGTGGAACAGCTGGCATCCGTCTGAGACCCCGTGATGTGCAGAACTCCCCCGTCCCGTCGGCAAGCCTGCCCTGCCCCGGCCCTGGCCCCAGAGTCCAGCCCGCTCCGTCTCTCTGCACCCCTCTGCCACTACCCAGTGCCCTTCCTCCACCTAAAAATGCTCCCTCCATGGGCTTCGGTGACCCCCTTCTGGCCCTTCGGCCTCCAGGCCACGGGCAGAGCAGGGTCACAAATAGGAATGTTCAAGCAGAGGCAGGCGAGGGCAGAGGCTGTGCCCTGACTATCGGCCTGGTCTTTGGGCCACAGACCCTCAGGGGCCTTGGGGCCAAGTGCTCCTTCCCCCAGGAAGTAAGGGGATTACCCCAGGTGTGAAATGACTGGCTAAAGCCCCAGGGCCCTGCCTCATTCTTCATTCATTCAGCACACTTACTGGAAACCTATTATCTGCCCTGTTTGAGAAGTGGGGACTGACAGACCAGACAAATCTGGTCCTCCCAGTGCCTCCATCTTAGGGGAGTTGGCAGGGGACAGGTACATGCTCAGTGATTAAGGACGGGCCTGCCCAGCCCCATGGGCCCCGGTGGGAAGTCTGGGCAGGGGAGATGCCGGCGGATAGAGCCAGGATCCCTCTGAGGTCCCGGTGCTGGAAGGTTCCGGGGTCAGTGTGACCAGAGCCACCAGCCCCCAGCTGGCCTGCCCCGCAGGGCCCCCGGCTCCCCTCATCTGCTCGCAGGCTGAGAGGCCCCCCAGCGTCCTGCCAACCACTGCAAGGAAATCTTAAGTTTTATCTGCCCCCAACAGCTACAGGGTGATGGACGTTTTCCTCATGGCAGGAAGAAAAGCCCCTTGAGGTGTAGGGTAGCTCATGCAGAAAGTTGGGTGTGCCCCGTTAGTCACATCTGTTGGTGGATGGTGGCCGACCTGCGACAGCCAGTCCCACTGGGCAGGCCCAGGAACAGGGTGAGCAGTGTGACAAGGCCGAGCTTTCAAGAGGGTCTTCCTGTGGCTCTTCTGCCCTGGTGCCTCCCCTCCCCCCCCCCGCAGGCTTCGTGGCCCCTCTCCCCATCCAGGGCCTCTCTCCCCGCCCGTCTCCCCCTCCCCGCCCTCCCCCTCTGTCTCCCTAGGGTGCAAATCGGCAACTGGATTTCAGCCGAGGGTAGGAAGCTGCCTGGGTCGGTGGGGGCTGCTTCGCTCGTGCTGGGTGCCGGGTGAGCTCAGCAGGGTTTGCCGGCTCAGGCCTCTCCCTTTACAGGGGGAAACTGTAGGCTTTTCCTCCTTTTCCGCATCCTCAGACAGATAGCACACAACGACCCTCAGTGCTCCACCTTCACGGAGGGCTCTAACGGGCGTGAGCCCATCTGGCCCCACTCGGTGACCTGGGAGGAAGGACAGCCTCCTTCAGGGTAAAGGAGGCCATGGGGCTCAGAGGGGATAGCGTCTGCCCGGATGCCCGGCGGGGCTCAGGGCAGGACACCCACCCAGGACTCAGCTGGGAGGTCCTGCCCAGGACACCCCGTCCAGACTCAGCAGAGCCAACATCCCAGCACAGCAGCACAGCTCCAATTCCTGGCCCCTCTCTCCTCCGAGATGGGGGGAAGCCCCACGCATCCCGGTTCCTTACCCAGAGGCTGCGAGGCCTCACCCACCAGCAGGCAGGCTTGCCGTTAGCCTTTCCAAACTTGTTGGAACCCTGCTGGACACACCCTGTCCCTGCCGCTTACAGAAAGACTGGACGTCTAAAAGAAGCTACTCTTACAAAACTCAAAGCAGACCAAACCTAGGTTTCTGATAGCAAGTTTCGCTGATCATTTATTAAGAATACATCTGGCTTTTCTGTGTTGTTTTCCTCCCCGTCTTTTGGAGGCACGTGTACTGGCTTGTGTTCTCCCAGGTGCTGTTTCTCAGCCCTGCAGAAGGAGAGGAAATGGAGGTGTTTGCGGGAGGGTCCTTTCTCCAGGCCCCTGACTCCCTCATCTGTGAAAGCTGGACCCCTCCCAGTGAGCCTCTTATACTTTTTAAATTTTCAGAGACTTAATGGGAGATGTCTTTGTGAACAGAGATCCATCCCATCAGCTCTTGATCTTCCAAGACAGCAGGGGAGAAGGTGTCAGCTCGGGCTGCTGTAATGAAATACCACAGAGGGGCTTAAATAGGAGACATTTGTCTCTCACGGTTCTGGAGGCTGGAAGTCCCAGGTCAGGGTGCTGGCAGGGTAGGGTTCTGGTGAAGGCTCTCTCCCTGGCTTGCAGACGGCCACCTTCCCACTGTGCTCTCACATGGCCTTACCCCACGTGTGCACATTAAAAAAGAAAGCCCTGGTATCTCTTCCTCTTCTTACAGAGACGCGGGTCCTATCAAATCAAAACCCCAGTCTCATTGTTGCAGAAAAATGTGTTACAGCTTGGCATTACAGCTCAGTTGTGACAGCAACCTGGATCTGGGCGAGAGACCAAGCAGCACTCGGAGAGTTGAAGAACTCAAATTTATTATGCCACTGGGCCCAGAAGAGTTAACACTCCAAGTTCTGGACCCTATTTGCAGGTTTACACAGGCCTTTATAGGCTACCAGTTTACCCTTTGCAACATCATATGCAAATAAGGTATAACAAAAGTTGACCAACTAGGAACAAGCTTGTAGAAA